CAAATTATATGAATCAGGAAAGCAAGATGAAGGAAGCGAATTCCAAAGAACTGATGTTCGAGGAAAAAAACTAGAAGAATAAGAGTTTTTGAAGCACTTAGGAACAGTCACAGAAAAAGGATGAGACTTAAATGAATGGCGAGTAACACGAGAATGAATTTTAGTAGATGGCACAAGGGACGCTAGCTCTTTAGAGCAGTGCCTATTATAGTATTTGTAGAAAAGAGAAAGAGAAGCAACATTACGACGATGTGACAAAGGTTGGAGATTGGCTGCCAGAGCAGGTCCAACTATGTTTACAATTCGTTTTTGCACCTTGTCTAAAAGAGAAAGAGCATCATTAGAAGATCCCCCCCAGATGTGGCAACAGTATTCCATACAGGGACGGATTTGAGATTTATAGAGATAGAGAATAGAATCTGGAGTAAGAAAGTGTCGAGCTCAATAAAGAGATGCAACCTTAGCAGATGCTAATTTTGCAATGGATTTGATATACGGTTTAAAAGAAAGATCAGAAGTAAGAGTTAATCCTAGAAGATGAATGGTAGATGACTCATCTAGTACATTACCATTCATAAATATAGGAAGATCTAAATTATTACGATAACGATTGGCCGAATAAAATTGAGTTTTATTTGAATTAAAGTTCACCAGCCACTGTGAGCCCCATGCTGTAGCAGAAGTGAGATCCTTTTCAAGCTCAGATACCCCCTCCAAGCAATCAGAGAGTGTAGGCTTCTTATCATGACAAGATTAAATGGTAGTGTCGTCAGCGAATAATGCCACCTTAGATGTGAGAATATCTGGAAGATCGTTAATGTAAATTAAAAAGAGTATAGGGCCAAGGATTGAACCTTGAGGAACCCCTGAAGTTACAGGATGTGAAGAAGAGTGTTGTCCATCGAGGACAACTTTTATACTACGATTGGAAAGAAAGGACTCAATAATCTTAAAGACGTTACCAGCTACACCATAAGAAGAAAGCTTATGGAGAAGCCCAGCATGCCAAACTTTATCAAAAGCTTTAGAAATGTCAAGTGCGATAGCCTTAACCTCTCCACCTCTATCTAATGCACGGTAAAACCTATCGGTTATTACTGTTAGCACATCAGCTGTAGAACGAGAAGACCGAAATCCATATTGATGATCAGAAAGTAAGTTATTTGATTCAAGATGAGAGATTAAGTGTTTGTTGATTAAAGATTCAAAAACCTTGCTTATGACAGGAAGAAGACTAATGGGACGGTAGTTAGATGAATCAGATCGCTCTCCGGAATTTTTGAAAATAGGGATAACAGATGCTGCTTTCCAGCATGATGGAAAACAAGACTCTGATAAGCACTTGTTAAATAGTTTAGAAAGTATGGATGAAAGCTCCGGAGAACACCTCTGCAAGACTACAACAGGAATGTTGTCAGGACCACAAGCTGTTGAAGAGTCTAAGCAGGAAATTACTTTAGATACAGAAGCTGAAGTGATGCGTATGTCAAGCAAGGGATCAACCTGTTTGACGGCTATGTCAGGTAAAACGCAACTAGTAGAATCAAGAGATGATATTGATGAAAAGTTCTTAGCAAACAATTCAGCTTTGTCTTTAGGTGAGGTGACAAAGTCTGAACCATACAAGAGAGAAGGAATAACAGATTTGCCCTTATTATTGATACTGTTAAAGATTCTCCAGAAGTCTCGAGAGCCTAATTTTTGTGATGAGATACGAGATTTAATGACCTGGGAATAGCGAGCTTTGGCGTCAGACAAAACCTTTTTACAACAGTTTCTGGCGATAGTGAACAGATGTCTGTTTTCTGGAGATTTGTTTTGCTGATAGATATGGAAGTAACGGTTTCGATTAGAAATTGCTGCAGCGCAATGTGAGGAAAACCAAGGAGAAGAGTGAGGCTTGACCTGGAATCGTCGAGAGGGAATAAAAGATTCCATGCCAGCCTGAATCCACGAAGTTATGTAAGGAGCACATTTGTCAGCAGGAAGACGAAAGATTTCTACCCAAGGGCCATCACGAAGAAAATCACGGAAAGAGTCCCAGTCAGCTTTAAGGTAGTTGTATGTGGTACGATGATAGGGGGATTCTGATGAAGTAGAAGAATTTGATAATAGTTTTAGAGAGATCAAACCGTGATCAGAAGTACTTAAGGGTGAATGTGGAGAAATTGAGCACTGACTAGGATCCAAAACAAGACATAAGTCGAGTAGAGAAGGTAAATGATTAGGGTTGTCTGGAAAACGAGTTGGAAAGTTGACTATTTGAGTTAGAGATTGAGAAAGGCAAAAGTTGAGGGCCTTAACGCCAGCAGAGTCACTGACACTAGAGCCAAGCCAATCGGTGTGATGGGCATTAAAGTCACCAACAACGACGATATTGGCCGATGGATAAAGAGAGAGGGCTTGGTCAATTTGATCAGAAATAACATCAAGAATAGTGCAATCTTGGGATGAAGGAGAGCGATATAGAACAAAGAGAAAGGCGATAGAGTGAAGTTGTGCTAAACGAAAGCACATAAATGAATAGATAACATAATACATAAATGAACTTCATACATGATACATAAATGATACATAATACATAAATGAACTTCATACATGATACATAAATGAACTTCTTTATTTCTAAATAACAGTTGATAATTAAAGCATAAAGTGTTAAAATTAAAAAGAGCATTTGAGTCAAAATAATTGAATTTAATTGAATATTATTTTCAGTATTTGAGACAAACTGACTTTTTGATGCTAAAGTAACAAGATCGTCTGTCAGTATTTCTGATGAAAAAACAAGTAAAACTTTATTATGCATTATCGGAGTGTTTTCGCTATTATTTGCTTGGATTTCAGTTTGAAAGCAGTGTTCTTTAAACTGTTTTTTTTAAACAAATTAGCATTTATTTTATTAACTGCTGTAATCACAGATGCAGTTTTACAAGTAGAGGCGGATATAGTGGCGGTTTTTGTTGAAAATGAATTAGAAAGCATGTTGTTATTTTGTTTATTTATTGATCGATTATAATTAGATGAAACAGAAGGAACCAATTGTCTTATTTTATTTAATGCATTGTATCCCAATAGCTCTGTAGGATATTCATATTTTTCATTAATAAAATGTTGTGAACAAACTCTACTGTACTTAGTAGCTTCCAATTGAGATTTGTCTGAGTTTACCCGATTTATCAATTTTTTCCAAACAGATGGACAGTCTGAGTCTTTTTTTTCAGTAGGAAAAGGAATAAGTTTAAATGGTTCAGAACAGCAACAATTAGAATCTTCTCTTGAACATTTATGAGTTTCACAAATAGCTTTTTTCCACTTTTTAAGTTTGGTTGAGTGATTGGAACAACCAATGACAACACAAGAAAGTGATGTAGCCATATAAAACAAATAATTTAACTAATATAAACTAAAGTTACTTCTTATGCTGTTTGTTTATTTTATTTATTCTATATCTACTTTTTTGTGTAAAATACACACGAAAGATTCAAGTTTCTAATTATTCCGGTATAAAAATATTTTCGAATATCGTCTATTAAAATAATATATAGCAATTAAAATAATATATAGTAATTAAAATAATAATATAGATAATATATAATAATTATATTATCCTATGCCCTCATTATAGCTTTGGTAGCTAAATTAGCTTTAAAAATTCAAGAAGATCATAACATCACAGTGACTCCTCAAACAATCAAAAATTGTATAAAAACAAGGATTAGAGGTAGAGTGGTTCGAAATAAACCTTTTTTAACTTCTAAACAAATGAAACAATTGGAATTTGCATCGAAGTACTTAAAAATGATGATATCATATTGGAAAAAAATGTTGTGGTCAGATGAGTCAAAATACAATCTCGTCTCATTGGATGGAGTCCAAAAATTGTGGCAAAAAAATAGAGAAATTTATAAATTGAGTTATTTGCGAGGTAGTGTAATGCATAGAGGAGAAAATGTGATGGTTTGGGGTAGTGTGAGTTAAAAAGGAGTGGGGAAATTTACATTTGTTGATGAAAAAATGGATGCTTCAATGTATTGTGAAATTCTCAAAGCCAACTTGCAACCATATATTTAAAAATTGAGAATGGGAAGTGATTTTATACTCCAGCAGGATAATAATCCAAAACATACTGCTAAAAAAACAAAGGTATACTTTGACATAAATAACATCAATGGTTTTGAATGGCCATCTCAAAGTCTGGACTTAAATCCCATAGAAAATTTGTGGTATATTTTGGATAAAAAAGTTGGCGAACGAGCATTTATAACCAAAGACAATTTTAAAAAAGCTATAATGAGCGCATAGAATAATATAACAAAAGAAGAGACCCAAAATTTGGTCATCTTAATGCCAAATTGTCTAGTTGAGGCCATCAAGGTAAAGGAGGCCCCACTCAATACTAATTTCCATGGAATTTAATCAATTTGACATTATTTTTGAACTGTACAACTATTTTTTTTTGCAGTCTATTTTATGCATCATTAGATCAATTGTGTAAAATTCAATAGGTTTGAAAAGCAATTAATTTACCAATACACAAATAAATTCTTAAAACAATACTTGATGAGATATCTAAAAAAATTATTAAAAAAATATTTTAACGGACAACTCATTTTTTTGATGCAATCTTTAAAATTTGTAGAATACACTAACACAATCTAATTTATAGAACTCTTCAACATGTTTTTCCATCAGTAGGTTCATTAGATAGCCTCCTGATGAACCTACTGATGGAGAAACATGTTAAGGAGCACTAAAAATAAGATGAGTGTTTTTACTAAATTTTTTTCTAAATGTATATATATATATATATGTATATACTTTATATATAGCTCTCGGAATTAGGCTCGGCATTTGACAAAGCAAACCTAAAAATGTTAGAAGTCAGCAAAATAAAGAATTATAAAATTTAAAAATGATATTAATTTATTTTACATCAAATATGTAAACATGCATTTAGACATAAAGTTGTCTAAATATTAAAAAAATTAAAATGTTACCTTTAGAACTTTTGTTTCTGGCCGTGTTGGATAGCTGAATTCAACGTTATCAAATGTTATATTATCTAAAAAAAAAAATTTGAACTAATTAAAAATGATTTAAAATGTATAACAAATTTAAGAGAAAACTTAATAGCAAACTACTTTACCAATAAATCAACAGGAAAAAAAATTCAAGATAAAAAAAAAATAAAAGTTACCTTTTGTGTTAACAATGATACTTCCAGACTTAATTTCAGGTACTCTATCCAATAGCTCATAAATTCTTATGGAAGCACCAGCTGCCTTTTATAAACAAAGAAATAAGTTAATATAAAAAAGTTTATGAAACATTTTTATATTTAACTTATATATTTACAACACAAACAGAAACAAATTAAAATATGGCAAGTCTTATTAAATGTAACCTATATTATTATTATTAAATATAACTTATCTTATTAAATATAACCTAAATATAAGCTATATTAAATAAAGCCTTATATATATATATTTTATTTCTGGAGCTAGCGCATCGTATTTGAACATTTTAATAAATATTTGCTTTTCATCATTTTCTTAATAAAGTTTTCATAGCAGCATTACAATAATGCAATGCAAAACTGGAGTGTTTTCTGCCGCAACAACTTATTTTGATATATTTTTGTTTATGTTTCTAAAAAAATTACTTATGTTTAGTTTTAAAAAAATTACTCATGTTTTGTCATCCAATGAAATTATATGTAAATAAACTTCTAACATATAAAGAAGTTGTCCAATTAAAAAAATAGCCATGAAATTAAACAAGTCAGTTTAGTTTTCTTTTGTTTCAAATAATTATAAATAACAAGTTAAATCTGTGTTTAATTAACCTTCAATACACACAGTATTACTTTACAGAGTTGAAGAGTTATGACAGTTATTGCAATCTTAAAAAATCCTTCAAGCATGATAAAGAAAAAAGAAAGTTAAAAATTAGAGTTTAAATTAAGATTAAAAAAAAAGTCCTTGTTTTTGTTTAATGTGTTTAATAACATTAGACTGTACATTAGGGTGACACAAAGTAGGGTAAATAAAAAATAAAACTTTAATAAAAAAATGAAATTTTTCAAAAATCAATAACTGCAGTTGCTTATCCTGTTCTAAAACATTCAGTTAGTCTAAATACAAAATATCACTTATTTTTGTTCGTTGGAAGTCATAAATTTTTTACGAATTAAAATATGTTTATAACTAAACTTTTGTTTGATCTTACAAAAAAAAAAAAATACTGTTTATAATTTCATACAGTTAGCTATTATTTTAACTCTAGGTTTTACCAGTTCCTTAAGCATCTTTTGTTATAAACTTTCTATGCTCCCTGACTAACAAAAGAATGTTCTATCTCTGATCCTTATTGTGGGAACTGTGAACAAAGGTTCCTGTTAAACTTATATTTCTTTCTGCGCAGTCGTTGGTCACACTAACATTGCAAACTAACTGAGTGAAATGTTTGTATGAATTAGCGCTAAGAAATCACTTGAAGTATGCCACTCTTAAACAGATTTGGTGTGACCTGTAAGTATAAAAAAAAGCAAACTCTCCTTTGTAATTAAATTCTCTAATCGTAATTTAGTTACAAACTTTATAGACTTCAAATAGAGTTTGCAGAGATCAATGCCAACAATAAGGTCTTGCTCAAAAAATCGTTTGAACTTTTCTACAGCATTATTGGCTGAAACTTTAAAAAAAAATTCTGTTATCCATTTCTTTTCTTTTAGCAACTTATTTGCAGGGGCTTTAGACGTTTCCTTTGAAATTGCCATAAAAGCTCAAGTAATATTTATCTCGGCAATATGGTGTCTACAAAATGACCAAAAAAATGGTTTACCAAGAAATCTTGCCATAATAGTTATTACACCAGATTTCCATCCAGCGTTCTTACTGTGGTATCAGAACAGAATCCTACAATAAAGTCACAAAATTCAAAATATTCTAGGAGATTCATAACACTTTCAGCCATATCAATTCCCTTATCACTATCAGTTTGCACAACACCAAAAAAAAGGTCATCTTTGGTTTCAAACTCTGGGCTAGTTACAGATACTGATAGTCTATCTGCAGTAGTTGCCTGTCTAGTGTCTTCTTCAATATGCTTGAAAATTTTACCATCAAAATGTAAAACTAACATCTTGTTAGCCATTAAATATTCATTACATATCTGGCATTATTCCTTTTCCTCTAAATTATTTAATTATAATAAATTATTTAATTATAATAAATTATAATAAATTATAATAAATTATAATAAATTATAATAAATTATAATAAATTATAATAAATTATAATAAATTATAATAAATTATAATAAATTATAATAAATTATAATAAATTATAATAAATTATAATAAATTATAATAAATTATAATAAATTATAATAAATTATAATAAATTATAATAAATTATTAATTATTTAAATCATTATTCCTCTTCCTCGATATCAAGTCACCTTCTGACAGATTCTCTGCTTAACTTTAGCTGTTTAACATCTCCTCCTAAATAGTTTACTATTTAGGAGGAGATGTTAAAGAAGAAGGGTTGATCTCGAATGCTGAGACCGGCCCTTATACTGGTGGAAGTTGTTGCTGCAATGAGACCCTTACTGGTTATTTCTTTTTCTACTCTGAAGTATGCTGATCTAAACTGATGCCTACTTTTTGAGCTTGCTTTGTGAAAGTTAACATTTTTATTTAGGACAAAAACTTCCGACTCAGCATTTACTTCAAAAAATTACTAATTTTACCTAAAATGCCCATGCATTATTAGAAAAATTGTTTATATTCTCTTATTTTATTTAATCAGATGTTGAAACAAATATTTTATGTGTTAAACAAATTATACTTTAATATTACCTAATTGTGGTTCAGCTCTTGTTTTTTTAGGTTCTGTGGGTTCCTCACTTGCGAAATTGAATTCTTTATCATTGTTAGAAAAAAAGCTATGATTCCATTGCCTTATTTCACCAATTTCCTCTTTATTATCACGAATTATCAAATCGTTGCTCTTCTGTGCTTGATCTTTATATTCTTTTTTCCTCTTGTATCTATCAATCTTTCTCTGAAGCCTTGCTTCAAGCTCTGTGTCAATTTTATAAGATATAATCAAATTTCTGTTAGTTCTGTGCAAAAAATTGTTAAAACACTTAGTGCAAGATAAATTTGAATAAAAAAACAAAATTTCTCAAAAAAATGATTTTTTATATTTGGAAAAAATTAGTAGATATGTCATAATCGAAAAATAGATCTTCGCAAAAAAAATTTGAGCAAAAAAAAATATTGATAATCTAAGAAGGCCGAATCCTCTTGTAAAGCAGAAGTATTATGAGGCATTGATTTTTGCACTGATGTCAAACAATTGCTCTACCATATTGTAAAAGTCATTTTTGTGACGTTTGGAAATTTGTTTTTGGATTGGAAAGGTTTTACTGTTGCACAAAGTTTTGTATTTGCTGTATAGAGATTTAAACTTTTCCACTATACTTCTCTCAGAAATCAAGTAATTACTGAAACCAGCAGACTTCCAAATATTTACAATTTGTCGGAGTAAAAAATATCTTTTGGTATTTGAACTACAAAACTCAACTTTCCCTTTGCATATAACATCTTCTCGTGCTCAAGAACATAAAAAGTTTGTTTTAATAGGTTTGAATGGCTTATCTGTAGCTGAAGTTAGGTACAAGTAATATCAAAGAACACTTCTATTCGATGAAAGTTGGTTTGTAGGTAGATTAAAGGAGAGTAAAGCAGGTAAACTGACCTAGGAGCGTTGTAGCTAATTTCTTTCGTTTTCCTCTCTTTGATTTCAACATTTTGTGCGTAAATGTAAATAGTAAAAAAAATTAAAGTTTAAAGTAAGATAATTAACAAATCAAAAGTTGCCAAGTGATTAAACGCAAACCACTAAGTTTACGGTGCAATTAAAAAATTTTAAAAACAATTGTGAATGACCACAAATGTTTTAAAAACATCTTGATTTTTGACACATGTTTTGAAAACTTGCTGAATGATGTGAATATAATAAAATAATGCAAAGAAATAAAAAAGGCTTGGAAATTAAAATTTTCAAAATTACATGTAGCTTCTTGATCAATCTTTTTGTAGACTCCCGAAGTTTGGTCGAATCGGAAAATGTATTGCCGCTTTTTTTTTTTTTTTTTCTAATTTTGTGTCACCCTACTGTAAATGTAAAATAATCACTAAAATTCGTGTTTTGTTTTAATTAAAAAACATAAAAAATACCTGTCATTAAACAAAATTTGAGTATTTATAGTATTGTGTAAATTTGGAAGTGTTGACGTAAAAGAAACAAACAAAAATACAAAAAGACACCGAACATAAAAAAAATCTTTGCTGAGCATAAAAGAACTCTGCTCATTGATAATTATCACAACATTCATACTCAAACCATTCAAATAAAACACTAAAGCGAAAAGATTTATATAATAATGCCTCCATAGCCATCAAAGAAGTCATCAATGAATAATTAAAAGAATTTAAGCACCATGGCAGATGCAAATTACAATAAAAAAATACATCTGGCTAGCAATCAAAAACATCTGACTGATAATCGATAAGCTTATCAGACAGAGAAACAGCAGCTATTGCTGTGATTTTAAAGCATTGTTCAAGATTTTAGTATTTTAACCAAATAAGTATTGTAATTATTATGTAACCAAGTATCTAATTATTATCACTGTTTTGTTGACAAAACATAATTAGAAGTGAATAACTGTTTACAACTTTAATGAATAACTGTTTACAACTTTAAAAGCAGAACAAGGAAAAATATAATATACTTCAAGGGCTGTATTTTGATGGGAGAAAAAACAAAACTCTAGTGATTGAAAATTTAAATCAAAACAGTTTCAATGAGCCATTAATAAAGAACATTACTCACTTTTTTAAGAACCGGGTATTGGTCATGTTTTACTCTCTTCTAGGTCTGCTGAAACCATTGTAAATTCATACTTAAATTAAGCTCAATTTTCATTTCATAAAGTGAATGTAATTGGATGTGAGGGCACTGTTACTAACACAGGATGGAAAACGGGTGTCATTCGCACAGTTGAAAAATATTTAAAAAGGCCACAACAGTGGGAGATTTACCTGTTACACTTTAAAGAATTACCACTATGACATTTTAATTAAACGCACACAACTTGCAAATTTTATAAAAAATATTAGTGGTGAAGTGAGTAAACTATGAAATTCTAGTAATTGATCACAAAATTTTAAGTAAAGATCGACAGTTCTTGTTGGGTATAAGTTCTGCCATTAAATTAGGCAGTAGTTCTGAAGATTTATCTGTTTGTGAACCAGGAACAATTTCATACTTAAGTTGGTTAACAACTGCAAATAGAACATTACGATTGTATTTGAGCCTTAAAACCCTAACAGAGGAGCAAAATATCTTAGCATCTTTACTTTCTATTTTTTTAATTTATTTTTTTAGGTGCACTAAGAAGTCCTTTTGGTCTTATCACAGAGCACTGCAGAAGAGCATTTGAAAGGAAGTTTATGTCTCCTTCCTTGCTGATGTTGCAAAACTTTTCCAGATGTGGCATTAAACTTCAGATCTTTAGCTTCTGAGGCAAGCACACTAACCACTGCGCTACTGCTGCTCTTTTAAAATGACATGTCTCTGTGTGGTTTTAAATTAAAAAAAAAAGTAAATACTTCATTAATGGAGCAGAACATGTATGTAAGATGTAAGTGATAAAATCATTAAGATTTCTGCCCAACAATTTTTTTAAAGTAGTAGACCAAGTAATAGGGTTTTTGTCTCTTTTTTTTGCGCATTTAAACTTGTTCACTTGGGTTTGACAAAGGTTGTAGACAAATGGGTTCTTGTCAGGCAATAGGTTTTAAAAGAACTATAATCGAAATAGCTTTGCTTCTCAAAGAAAGTTAGGACTTTTTAACTACCTGAAATTAATTTCCTTATTACTAACTACACCAAGATGATTGACTAAAATTGACTACTACAGTTTTGCCACCCCCAATGTTGTGAAGAGTCTTTGATAAAGATATTTAATCAAAGATCCAATATTTGAAACAGCAGCTGAAAGGAAGCAGTCACTGTATAGAAAGTCTTTATGTCACATCCAAACAGTAGAACAATATGAGAAGCTTGTAAAAGAAGCTTTAAAAAAAGTAGCTGGCTCTAATCCCAGAGATAGCATCATAAGCACTACACATAACTCAATTTTATCAATGCCTAAATTTTCAAGCAAATTATATTTTAAACTACCAAATGAAATTAATGAAAAGAAAAAGAATATATTTTTTCAAGAAAGGCAATTTTAAACAATTGAAAAGACAATTTTTGAACAAAAAAAAAAGATTTCTTATTTCATTTATTAATTGTTCCATTACTTTGTTCAATTTAAATTGTTCCTAGCTGCTTGTAAAATAACTTATTTAACTTCATTATATTTTTAAGAAAAAATGATAAAAAAGGAATATTTATTTAAATATTCAAGACCGATGCATGCTATGTATTTTTTTGCATTATCCTTAGGTAGCCTAGACGCAAGTTTTTGTTGTATAGTGAGTCAACAATAACAACAACAACAATAAGTTATTTATTTCCCATTAATAATCATTTTATGATAGTAATATAATAACTGTAATAATATTAATACTAGTAATAATAACAATTATTATTATAATATCATAAATATTAATAAAAATAATTATAATAATAATAAAAAACCATAATAATTATAAAATATAATAAGATATAAAAATTAATACAAATTCTAGTTATAATAATAAATTTCAGTAATAATAAATTTTAAAACAATTAAATAAAAATAATAATAATAAATACTATAATAATAGTAATAAGTGTGATATTATTTATAAAAATAAGTTAATGATTTATAAGGATGTCGTCACTCATACAGAAGTCTGATGACATTAAAGGAGTGACATTAAAGTCAAAAATCACAAGAAAGTTTTTTTTTCAGTATACTCTATTAGGTAAATCTTTAAAATAAGAAAGTAAAAAAAAAAAAAATGTCCAATAAAATGTTTCTTTTTCATACTACATGTTTTTATATTTTGTAGAACAATGACATTTTTAAATATAAATTTTATAATGAACATTCTTTTAATTACAAAATCTTTAATATAACAAAAAATAAAAATATTAAACAAAATCTATAACTAAAAATATAGATTTTGAACATTTACATGATGATGATGATGATGATGATGATGATGATGATGATGATGATGATGATGATGATGATGATGATGATGATGATGATGATAATGATAATGATTTAACTTTAGGAATAAAAAATTAAACTTTAGGAATAAAACATAAAAACTCACTTTCATGAAATCACCATAAACTGATGACAGGATTGCAAATGGCCATATCAAATTAAATGAATACATAATGAATGCTAAAATAAATAAAAGAACTTTAAATAAGAAAAATACCATTTTTTAAAACATGAAAATGAGAGATTTATAAATTGAAATACAGATTAAGATAAAGAAATTATTGACAATAAAAATGAAAATAATAATATTATAAAAATGTTAATAAGAATAGTTCACTAAAAATAACAAGATTTAAAATAATAATAATAATAATAAATAACCATCAAACTTAATAATTTCTAATTATTTTATTATTTTTACCTTATGAGTTTTTTTATATTTGTATAACTATTCTTTTAAGTAAATTTAGTTTTAGTTTTATGAAAATGAATTTAAGATTAATTATTAAATAACTACTTTTTTTTTATTAATTCATGCAATGAGTTTTTATATTTTTAAATGATCTAATGTTAATGGTTTCTATTTAATATTGTTATTATTATTAATAATAATTTATTACTCAAATACTATTAAAATTAAGCACAACAAATACATCAGTTTATCACTCATTTATAAATTTATTTCCATTATAATGAATAAATAGTAACATTTCTTCACATTGAGGTTACAGCCTTGATCACTTTTTCTCGGAAATATTTCCATATTCAGAAAACAATTGCTCCAAAAATACAGAGGATGCTGGAGGTGCTAATAATTTAAGAGTTAACTCTTTTAGAAGTGGAAACTTCTCTTCGTGTTTCCAATAATTAAAAACGACTTTTTGATTTTTTACTACAGCATCTCATGGCATTGATCTTGCTTGTTCTCTCTTATCAACAGGAAGAAATTTGAACTTGTAGCGAGGATCGATAATGGTGGGTAAAACATATCTTTTATCATTTGTTATATTAAGATTATCATAAGAAAAAAATAATTAAAAAATGTTATCCGGGACACCCCTAATATTTACCATAATCTGTAACAATGAATGCCATGAACTGTAATAACATGTACCATGAACTGTAACAACCTTTGCCATAAACTGTAACAAAATATACTGTAAGCTGTAACAAAGTATACTGTGTGACAATAACAAAGTATATGATGGTATATATATTGTAAAATAATCTAATTTCTAAATAACTAAAAATTAGGTAGCTAGTTAAAAAATTATTTTTAATTATGTGGACTTAAAATCTCTATTCTAAGTTCTATATAGTAAAATAACAATATATTTGTAAAAAGATTAGCTTTTTAAAAACATTTTTATTAGATGTTTCATTTCTTTAATTCTATTATTCAATAGACAAAGAATTTCAAATACAATTGGTAGCCATTGATTGGCATGAATTAAAACTGAATTAAAATTGTCCCCATTAATTGGCATTGTAGAATACTGGTTTTTGGTATTGCTAAATTAAACTCATCAGAAATTTACATAAATCTAGGTTTGGCTTTAAGTTCATGCTCAAGTTAAATACATAAAATTTATGTATACTTGCTGCAACTACTTTGCCCTGTAGTTGTTTCTTTTCAAATAATCGCTTTATATATAAAACAATCTTTAAAATTTTTTCAGGCAAGCGCAACAAACATTCAAGAACTTTTGTAATCCAATTGTAACAAACAACAACATTAACAACAACACCAAAACAAAAAATACTCTTTAAATGGAATCAAATTGTTAATATAAGGAAAAAACTAGCACATAATATGATTATCTGAAAAAGTTGTTTTGTATATATTAGTAAAAATGTGGCTATCCAAAACATAAGCAACTTTTTATAACTACTAAAAAAATACTAAAACCAGTAATTAATGGTGTATCCTTTACTTTTTAGGATCATTGGACAACTTTTTGGCTCAATGAGTTTAGCGGAGCTATGAGATTATTAAGTTTTTCTTGTGTAAATTGCATTTCGCATAGTTTCAATAGCTTTATGTAGCTCATCAGCATTTATGAATATTTCTTTATATTTTAGAGAAAGCTAAACTTGTTGCAAATTAAAAAAAACTGGATTAAGTTCAGGTGATTAAGCTAGCCACTCATTACTTCAGTTTGATTTGTTGCAAACCATTGGTTAATAGTTTACACTTTTGTTTTGGGGCATTGTCTTATTGGAACTCCCATAAAATATACATATTTTTAAATCCATCCATAATTTCATTTATTCAATGAATAGGTCCAAATTGTGCAGATAAAAGTTTATTCTGAAAGCTTTTATACCTGATCAACACTTTTTTTCCATCAACGTACTTGTTTTTCTTATTGAAATTAGCTTCATCTAAGATGAAGCTAATTTCAATAAAAAAAAGAAGGACCTGGTATTCTATTTAATGTTAGATTTGTAGTTCATAAGTCAGATATTTTTTTTTTAATTAAAAATAATTTTCTGATTCCATTGTTCTATATAAAATATTTCCTTGCAAGAAACGGAAGATCAAGTCATGATGTTCTTATTTTAACTAAATAAAACTCTCTATTTACAAACTCCAGCTGTAACTTATATTAAATATCAAACCATATAAATACATTAACAATAACTATTAAGTAAAAACCACTTAAATCATAAGCCACATGACATCATGAAACATTTTTTAACAGAATTACAATATAAAATCAACTATACCAATATAAAATCAACTATGATTAACTAACAAATAATTAGTATTAATATCTTTTTTTTAAATAAAAAAAAATTAAGTATTTCGTATTTTGAAAGACATAGAAAATACAAAGTACATCCAAAATTGTAGAACATAAATACAAAATACTGAAAAAATATTTAAAAAACTTTTAAAGTATTTGTATATATATATATATATATATATATATATATATATATATATATATATATATATATATATATATATATATATATATATACATAGTATATATATTGCATATATAGCACATATATAGTATACATATATACTGTTCTTTCTCTTCTTAACCTGAATTGAATCATTTGAAGAAAATTTTCAAATTCCATACCTGTAGAATAGCTTTAACAGTTATTTTTAAATTATAGCGCATCCATGCACAAATGCTGCCATGTTTGTTTTTGAATAACTATGAATTTAAAAAATAATTATTAACCAATAGGCCATATTATAAATTCATCTTTAAAAACAGGTATAATACCTATTGAGTAAACAACAGCAAAAACTTTCCCAATATATCCTAGAATCATAAAATGTTCCAAAAACTACCCACCAATTCTTTACCTGTTTTTTAAAAGTTTTAGATCTAGATTTTGTTAAGAATTTTAGAAAAATTACAATAAATGCACTTTTAACTACAGACTTATTTGGAAGATTAAGTACTTTTATTAAGTATGTTTGATTTTCATAAAAACAAACAAATTTTGTTAAGTAAAATTCCAACTCCATCATAAACAAAGTTAATAAACTTGTAAAACAAGTGAAAAAACAGAACAAGTGATTGTACTTCAAATGGTCTATGATCCAATAACTCAAATAAAACAATAAAAAACAAATTAAACTAAATTAACTCATTATTGAACTCATAATCACTATTTCATGTAACGTTATGCTTTTAAAGGTAAACAGTAAATACAAAATTTGTGTGAGCCATTTTCTTTTTTATTTTGTGCAATTTTTCAATTTCATTTCTTTTAGTCCAACAGTTTCTTTTTTTTTTTTGTCTTTTCCAATTTAATGTGGTAGTGGTATAGTAGTAGAGCGCTTGCTGGTGCAGTGGCTTGCTTAATAAGCAAGAGGTTTGGAGTTCAATCTCCACCTTGCCCTTAGTAGTACCGCGCTCAACTTGTTTCTCTGCGCAGCGTCCTTGTTTATCAAGGTTTGTGTTTATTTATGCATAACTAATTTTAAAATATTTTTAAAATTAATTATGCAGTCTTTCTTTATTGACTTTGATAGTATTAGGGGATTCTTTAAAAGAAGGTAATGATCTTGAATAATATGTAATGCAATAAAAGATTTTCTTTTAGGTTTTCTACAAAAACTTTATTATACTAAAACTATGCTCAAATTCACCCCAATAAAGTCAGAGAAGAATTTATGGAGACTAATACTTTTAAAATCAAAATTATGAAATTATTTTTTGTTTTGGGTCAACTATTTCTAAAAACTTATGATATTGATTCAGTAGATATTTGATGTTCATTTTGCTGATTAGGCAGACTTTGGTAACAAACAACTATATATAGACATATTTTTTTAATTTGAAATAAAAATTGGATTGAAGGATACTGGGTATATTATGCCAAACTTCTATGGCAACTTCTCAATTGAGGTGCATCAAAAGATCAAGTAAAAACTGCCTTCTAAATAAATATAACAAATCTTAGGTCTGAGTAACTTTAATTAGCTTGGAATATATAAAAGTATGATAACCATAATTGAAACCATCTCAAAAAAATTTAGTTTTCCTGACAAAGCAGGGCAAGCCATGGTTTTAAGTCTCTTCCTGGCTTTTGCTTTTTGAATCAAGTTGTTTGCTTTCTGCTTGACTACTGAAAAAATTTATTAACTTTTTTCTGCAAGTAGTAATTCAGTTTTTTAGCAAAAAATTCCATTTTCACACAACTTATTTCACAAAACCTATGTTAACAAAACTGGATAATCAAGTTAACATTGTCTATTTGATTAGATAATCAAGAATTTTCACAAAACCTGTTAACAAAACATCGGATAATCAAGAGTTAAATTGTTCTTTTCAAAAGTTAAACATCATTCAAGAAGAGTCATGTAAAATTTTCCACATCACTTTTAAGAAATTATTTACTTTTATAAATAAATATAAGTCCACAACTTTTGAGAATAAAAAAATCAGGGATTTTCAGGACCACTTTTCAAATCCAGGACTTTCCAGGACTGGTGGAACCCCTTTTGTGTTTTTGCATTTTTTCATTTAAAAAACAAAAATAATAAAATGCAGCAAAAACTGATTCACAATTAAATTCAGATTCTAAAACTAAAAGTTGTTAGCAGCACTCGTTGTCATATTTTAGAGTTAAGGAAAAAAGAAAAAATATATTGTAAAAAAATTTTGTTTTCCAATCATTTTCAAATTATTTTTTCATAATTACAATAATATATTAATATTATTTAGCATTCGGACATAATTCTGTTTTGGTATTGGTTTTGGCCAAAACTTCAATTTGAGCCGATATTGCAATTTTGATTTCAGTACTTTTTATAAATTGGGTAAGAAGCAAAATTTCTGTTGAAAAACATACCGAAAAAATTTTATGATTATTAATTTTTATTTGATTTAAAAAAATAAACAATAAAAAAATAGTTATTTGATTTAAAAAAATAGACAATTTTCACAAAATATTTTCCCATTTCTAAATAAAATTTCAAACCCATTATTCACAAATTATTTAACTTTTTAGTTAGTAAATAGCGTGTATCCATCAGGTTCCTAAAATATCAAAACCGCAAATAATCAAACCATTGCAGTGCAATTATAATGCAAAGATAAAATTGAATTTAAAAATGCAAAGATAAAATTTCATGAATGTAAGCTTTGAGCTTTGAATAGTTATATAAAAGTTATAAAATAAATTTTTAAATATTAAATTTAATAAGCTAGTAAAGTTAATTTGTATAGTTAAAAAATATTTATTTAATTTATATAAATATTTATATATAAAAAATATGTATTTATTATAAAATAATACATTAAATATTTTATTAGTTATTTATAATTATTGTTTTTATTCAAATATTCAAGGTATTAAATATTTTATCGTGTTGTAAAGTTTTTAATTCATTGAAGTTGTAAAAATATTTTCTACGATAGATGTTCCTAAACTTCTTGATATTCAAACAACAAATCCGTTCATAAATTTCTTTAATAAAATCGATGTCGTTGTGAAGTTTTAGATTTAATTCTTCACAAAGATTAATCCACGGAAGAAAAATTTCTTCAAAATCTTTTTTTGTTATTAAGTAATCTGAGATCCATTGAAAAGTTATATACTTATTATATAACTTTTATAGATTTTTCTATGAGTAATTTTATTTTTATTTATGACTATTAATTCATTACTATCATTTAAAATGGAAAGAAGTTGTCAAAAAAAAAAAAAATCAAATTTAAAAAAAAAAAATCTAAATAAATATAAAATTCTAATGAGATTAATTTTGATTGGCTGAAAGTTCCATTTAGTTTCTATAATATGTTTTCCAAAATGTTGGTTTCAGATTCAGCATTGAACTAGTATACCTGAAATTTTGGTTTATTTTGGTTTTGGCGTATTCAGCAAAAAAAAAACTTTAAAAATTAAAAAAAAATATATATATTTTTTAGTTAATCACTAACATTGTTTATAAATAATGTTTATAAATAATATATTAATATTGATTTTTAAGCAACCAATAAAATATCAATTTAAATTCTGTGATTTAAACTCTAGAAACAAAAACTTTAAATGTATAAAAAAAGGCCCTCATTTGCATTTAATTTACATTATTATTACAATGTCAATTTTAGAATATGCCTACAAACAACTTAACAAATACCATTGAAATTGGTAGAAAAAAACTTTACAAGAAATTATATAAAAACTTTTCTTTTTTTTAAAGATCATAGTTATCTGAAAAGTAACTTCAGTTCATAAAGTTACTAAAGTTACTAAAAGTTACTAAAGGAATTCATTAAGTTACTAAAGGGATGTGGAAATGATTTGTATCAAAATTATCAAATTTATTATACTTGTATAAATGTGCAACTATTTTTTTTATATTTATAAACATTACAAAGTAAATAATGCATTTACTACCATACATAACTTATATATATATATATATATATATATATATTTTACCACGGTTATTATAAAGAATTCTTAAAAAGTTTAAAAAAAAACTTTACTTAAAAATGATTTTTATAATTTTATATTTATCAAGTACAAAAAAATTTTATGTATCTAGAAAAATTCTTAACTTTTAACTTTTGCTTCATAAAAGTCGTAATATTTAATAAAGCACACAGCTAACAGGGTTTTAAGTAACATTACAACATACAGGTAACAGGGTTTTAAGTAACATTACATCACACACAGGTAACAGGATTTTAAGTTTACAATTACTATTTTAAAAAAATTGAGAATTGATAAGTTTTTTTAAAAAAATATTATTAAATAATAAACTAATTTTTTAAAAAGAATATTATTAAATGATTAACTAATAAATAAACTCAGTAAAATGCTGCATTTATTTTAAAATATTTAAGAGAAATTCAGTGTTTGAATAAGGAAAAGTGAAAAATCCCAATGTTTTTAGTTTCTCTGGCTTTTTTTTTTAAGAAACATTTCCTAACTTTGTCAAGCCTTGTAAGTAAAAACTTTTTACACAAAAGATTTTCACAAAATATGTGTGCAATACAATTACACAATACTTTTATTATAATATAAGCAATTAACATCCTAAACATAAGCTATAATGTATATATGTAATCACATATACATTATATATATAATCACAACAATACATATATACGACAACATTTTGTAAAAATACATAACTTCAATATAATAACTTAAAATGAAATAAAGTTTAAAAAAATTTGCAAACAACAAAATAAATTTTACAAAGTTTACTTACAAAATAATTCTCCTATATTCATATCGCCATCAATGACTAACTTTCCACCATACCACAATACCAAAACAAGATTACCCTAAAAGCAATTTATCCAAACTTCTAAATTACTCTTAATTAAAAAAAAATGTAGAATAAATTGGTAAAGTACCTAATGTTTTTAAAATATTTAGAAAAACATATATTTTACTAAAAATAAGCAAAATACTGAAACAAGTAAAAAAAAAGTGTTTTAATGAAATAATGCTAAAACACCTATCAATATATTGACAAAATAATAATAGTAAAGGGAATGGGATATCTGTGTCCCAATATTTTCTTTGCTGTGAAATGGGATCGTGGCTTATAAAAATTACCAATATTTTAATTCAATTAAAATTTATTTGATTCTCATAAACGAGAGCTGGCACCAATCAAATCGATATTTTTAACAACATGAGTACTAATTATTAAAAAAATAATTATTCGTGTACATGTGCATTTAATAGTATAGGGTATATAATTATTAGAAGAAATAATTAAAGCATTTATTTTTTAGTAATTTAAATAGATTTTTAAACAATAAAACAACCAATAATATAAAATTAAACGCTATATTTTACTATAATATTTTGAAAACTTTTTAAAAAAATATGAATAATATACAGAATGTGCATAAACTTATATATAATATATAT